CACCACAGACAGGTGTCTCAGCTGCACCACAGACAGGTGTCTCTGCACCACCACAGAGAGGTGTCTCTGCACCACCACAGACAGGTGTCTCTGCACCACCACAGACACGTGTCTCAGCTGCACCACAGACAGGTGTCTCTGCAGCACCACAGACAGGTGTCTCAGCTGCACAGACAGGTGTCTCTGCACCACCACAGACAGGTGTCTCAGCTGCACAGACAGGTGTCTCTGCACCACCACAGACAGGTGTCTCAGCTGCACAGACAGGTGTCTCTGCACCACCACAGACAGGTGTCTCAGCTGCACAGACAGGTGTCTCTGCACCGCCACAGACAGGTGACTCAGCATCCCCACAGACAGGTGTCTCTCTGCACCACAGACTGGTGTCTCAGCATCCCCACAGATGCGTATCTCTACACCACAGACAGGTGTCTCTCTGCACCACAGACTGGTGTCTCATGAAGCCAGAATGAAAGTCATCACTGAAGCAACACATTTAACAAGTTTTCTCAACTGCAGTCAAAGCTGTGCCTTACATTAACAACAGCATCAATGCGGTTATATAATAAGCTGATAAATAAATAAAACATTTAAATAACATATATTTTACTCACCAAAACGTTTTATTATCCATTTAAAAACTCCAGCCTCCTGTTATTCCTCAAGAAAAATCCGACTCCTCTGTCATACAGGTCCTCATGGCGTTTCCATTTCAACAATACATATATACTGTATGTAATTTATCATTTTCAACTGGAATATTTCCAGATTACATGAAAATAGCCAAGGTAATTCCACTTTTTAAGTATGGTAAGAAATGCATGTTCACAAACTGTAGACTCCTTGTTGCCGCAGTTTTCAAAGATTTTGGAGAAATTATTTGTAAACAGATTAGATCAATTTATTGATAAACAAAAAAATTTAAATAACTCTCAGTATGTGTTTAGGACAAATAGGTTGACATCAATGGCTCTAATGGAATTAATGGAGCAAATAACAACTGCTGTTGATCAGAAGCAATGCTGTGTTAATGTTTGTGTTGATTTGAGGAAGGCATTTGACACGTGTGACCACACCATTCTTCTTGGAAAGCTGAATCAATATGGTATCAGAGGACCAGCACTACAATGGGTATCAAGTTATTTGAAGGATAGGAAACAGTTTGTACAAGTAAATGATGTATGGTCTGACGTTTGTAACATCACATGTGGAGTTCCACAAGGTTCTGTACTTGGACCAAAATTGTTTATTTTGTATGTAAATGACTTGGTAAATATGTCAGGACTTTGAAATGCATTCTGTTTGCAGACAATACAACATGCTTTTGTTTGGGTAAAGACATAGAACGAATGATGGGGATGATGCAGATAGAATTTGTTAAAATACAGACTTGGTTTCATCTCAATAAACTATCTTTAAATTTAGATAAAACTAACTATATATTTAGTAAAAGAAAGAAAACTATTGATGTTCCATTTAAAGTCGGTGACGTTGAAATTTGTAGAGTCAGTGAAGCGAAGTTTCTGGGTGTTATCATAGATGAAAAGCTGACATGGAGAGCCCATATTGATAATTTAAGAATAAAAATAGCTAAATCTATTGCAATATTATATAAAGTAAGAGAGTTATTTGATAAATCACTGTATATGTTGTGTAACACATTAGTTGTTCCGCACTTAGTTTATTGTATAGAAAACTGGGGGAAGGCATGTAAAACGATTACAAATCCCATTTTTTTCTTTTACAGAAAAGAGCTGTAAGAATTATAACCAGAAAACATTATAGTCACCCAACAAATATCTTGTTTTGTAAGTTGAGGTTATTGAAATTTTATGAGTTGGTAGATTATAATATTTTGCAGGTCATGTATAAGGCTCATAAGAACATATTACCTGTAAGCATCCAGTCAAGTTTTGTTAAAAGAAAGAGCAGTTATAATAAGGGGATTGAGATGCTTGTGAAGCCTAAATTTCGAACCAGTTTGAAGGAACGATGTACGTCAATTTAGGAAATAAGTTTATGGAATAAGCTGGAAAGTGCTGTTAAAAATGCCAGATCAATGTTTAAGAGAATGATTAAAATTGATTTAAAGAAGAAATGTGAAAAATAATTTGTACTCATAAAATTTGTTCGATGAGGATTATTGTTGTTTTCTTTTCTTTTTATTACTTTGATGTCATCATTTATCCAGAATGCTTTGTGTGTAAATAAAATGGCCCCGTCTGTGTAATGTATTTTTAAACTTTTAGTTTAAAAATTATAAAAACTGAACATCCTACAGTATTTTTACAGTCTGTTTTTACAGTCAAAGTATATGTTTATCAAATAAAGTCTGATGTTACAACTAATCGGGGATCCCTTTAAACTTAATTGGCTCTGGAATTGATTTGAAAACAATAGTAATCAACTGATGGTTAACATATGTTAGCTCAGTGACTCAGTGAAAGTGACTCATGAGATATTTTGCTAACAGCTAACAGTATAGATGCACGCTCAGGCAAAATCCTTTTTGTGGCTTCTACAGCTCAACATCCTGAACAAAAGAAAAGTTTGGTGTGTCATTGAAGTGTCTCTCTTTTAAAAGATTGAGAGGAAAAAAGGATGTTTTCTGAGCTCATGCCCTACTCTCCTTTTTCTTTTTGATTCCCAACTCCAGCTCTGAAGGACGACCGCTTCCAGATGGTGCTCTTCACGCCACGCCTGGTGCGCATCGCGCTGACCAACGTCAGCGTGTCAGATGAGGGCGGCTACTTCTGCCAGCTTTACACAGACTCCACGCACCACCAGGTGGCGACGCTCTCCGTCAACGTCCCCCCGGAGATGCCCACCGTGGAGCCAAAGCAGGAGGTCGTGGAGGGCGGTGACGCCGAGCTCACCTGCGTGTCACCTCGCAGCAAGCCAGCTGCCACCCTGCGCTGGGTGCGGAACGGCCGCGAGATACAAGGTACGGGGAGTCGCAGCTGACACGTGGACTGATGGATGTTTGGAGATGTTTGGTTATGAGAGATAAATGAGAAAGTTAATGAGATGTTTAAGGACAGGTGGAATGGAATGGTAGGGCTATATCACAGATTGAGTGCTGGATAATGTAAGAAGAAATGGATGGCTGACTGATGGGTTGACAGGGGGGAAGAGAAATGGATCAGGGAACGAAAGGAGGGACAGATGGGTGGATAAATGGATGAAGGAAATCAGATTCTGGGCAGTGGGGCTGCCAGAATCTTTTCCCTCTGTCTTCCCTTCATTTTGATCAATCCTTTTTTGAGATCTCAACCGTAGTAGTTTTTATGCTGCAATTACTTTAGGGGACATTATCAGCTCATGAAAAAGTATAACTTATTGAATGATAGAATGGGATTGTCCTGCAAAAACAGATCAAAGACTGCCATAAATGTTTCAAGGATTTGTCAAAAAAATGCTGACTAAAGTGCATGTCTTTAGCATGAAGGCTTTTTATAGGCTCAATTGTTATTGAACATGGCAAAAAAATTAAAAAGGAAAAAACTGCCAGAGTTTTGAACTAAAGTCGTCTTATCGTGAGAAAGGACAGAGTTGCATTTGTTTCAATTGAACCTTAGAAATCACCTTGCATGCCATCTCATGCAATGTTGAGAGCTTGTAAGGTGTGTGTGTGTGTGTGTGTGTGTGTGTGTGTTTGTGTGTTTTGAGTTGAGGTGGGTTTCAGACCTGCAGCCCAGCCGTGGGGGCCGACGTGCACTCACTCCTGGTGGCGTCCTGCTGCTTTAGNGTGTGTGTGTGTGTGTGTGTGTGTGTGTGTGTGTGTGTGTGTGTGTAATGGTGTGCCAAGTGAGCTGAATTTCAAACTGATGGACCACAGGCACCACCCATATTGTTTTTAAAAAAGACTTTTAGGAGTTAAATACCATCTTCAGCAGTGTTAGCGGTTGCTTTTGTCGCAGGATGATGATGTCTAACGCTGCTAGCTTTGCTAAAACTGCTAAGTGTTGCTAATGCTGATATTAGCCGTCAGCTATTGTCCGAAATGTAGCTCAGATACAATTAGAAAATTAGTAAAATGTAAAAAAAAAGTGAGCTAAATATCAATAAAATTGTGGAACTTGTTTAAATGGGACTTTGCACTCAGAAAGCGAGCTAATGAAAATGTCAGTGGCATTTTTTTTTAACATTTTATTTTACACTTGGCACCCCATGTGTGTGTCCTTAGAGTACACACACAGATACAGGTAAGAAGTAAAGTAAAACAGGAAGGTTAAACTTCCTGGAGTATAAAGCACACAGACCTCAGCACAGATGATAAAGAATCTTGTGTCATCTTTAACCAAGCTTTTCTGCTTCTGCCTGTGTAGTCAGGTCGTTCTGTTCTTACTTTTTGTTTCCAGCTAAAAAAAAAGTGGGTTTACATCATGATTTTATGTGGATGATGCAGTTTTTGCAGGATATTTTTTCTTTATTTCCAGGAAAAAATAAAACTGACTGAAGTGCAGTATGACTGTATGTGCAGTCCACTTTGTGATTTGTGACTCGTTTTTATCACACATGCAGTGAACACTGTGCAATCACAGTACCTTTATGGTGTGTGCTTTAAGTCGTGAATATTTTTAAGCCTCCAACACATTTTCTTGAACTCTAAAACACTTTTATCCTAGTTTTATCAAACTAAAGATGGTTCTGGAACTGGTTTAGTATTTAAAGATGCTTAAAAAAAATGGCAAACCAGTCCTCATGAAAAGTTTTCTCCTGTGGTAAACTTTATGTATTTACCCTTATCAGATTCTCTCTCACTTTTTCACCCAGTAGACTTCAATGATAATATGTCTACATCAGTGAGAGATGTTATTTATTTTTTAACTTGGCTGGATGTTGGGAAGAGGTTTTTCATTACCACTGGTCATGCACCACTGTTGCTCGTTGCCCTCTGCGGATATTCTGTTTTTTTTTTTTATGCTGCCAATTGCACCAGGGTGTTTTATTTTGTTTTTCCTCAGAATCTCCCAGCTGTTGATTATTCATCTACTGAAATTCATTCTGTGTCTGTGATGGATTGTTTCGTTATTGCAGTTTTTAGATGGAGTGCTCTTTTGACTGCATCTTGCAGATTCTCAGGAGCAGCTTTCAAAGACAAAGGCCAAACTTGAAATCTGTTTCAGACCGTTTCCCTACAGCTAAAAATATAGCAGAGGAACAGACCTGTGTCTGACAATTTCTGAGTCATTTGGAAACTTGTGTCTGAGCCCCTGGAACAGATGGTTCTGTATTTCCTAAACCCTCCTTCTAATTTAGAAATGTAGAGACAGCAAGTTAGGGGAACCATAATTGTAAAATGTCAGAATTGGGAGTGCCATTATTTTGAAATGATACATCAGAACTTGCTCAGATTTGTTGAGGAACATCTGAAGGACTTTTACAATCATCCTGAATTGAGACCAGTCTCTGACACCTAGCTATTTAGTTGCAATAAAGACAAATACTTAGGGGGCAGAGAAAGTTAAAATGTAAGTATTGGGAGTGATTTTATTTTTGAAATGCTACATCAGAAGTTACTCATAATTGTTGAGGAACATCTGGAGGACTTCTAGAGTCTGACAAGTAGCCGTTTAGTTGCAAAAGAAACAGCAACTTAGGATAACATTAAAGGTACTATGTCAAAAATGGTAATGCTTTTATTTTGAACTGCTACATCACAAGTTGCTCATACTTGTTGAGGAACATCTGGAGGTCTTCTAGAGTCAGCCTGAATTGAGAGAGCAGTCTCTGACAACTATACATTTAGTTGCAATAGAAACAGCAACTTAGGGGCAGCAAAAGTTACAATATAAGTATTAGGAGTGCCACTATTTTGAAATGCTACATCAGAAATTGCTCAGAAAAGTTGAGGAACATCTGGAGGTCTTTTAGAGTCAGCCTGAAGTGAGATCAGTCTCTGACAACTAGCTGTTTAGTTGCAGTAAAGACAGCAATTTAGGGGAACATAATTGTAAAATGTCAGTGTTGGAAGTGCCATTATTTTGAAATGCTACATCAGAACTTGCTCATAATTGTTAAGGAACATCTGGAGGACTTTTACGGTCAGCTTGAATTGAGACCAGTCTCTGACAACTAGCAATTTAGTTGCAATAAAGACAAAAACTTAGGGGCAGAGGAAGTTATAATGTAAGTGTTGGGAGTGCTTTTATTTTGAAATGCTATATCAGACATTACTCAAAATTGTTGAGGAACATCTGGATGACTTTTAAAGTCATCCTGAATTGAGACCAGTCTCTGACAACTACCCGTTTAATTGCAATAAAGACAGGAACTTATGATAACATTAAAGGTACAATGTCAATAATGGGAGTGCTTTTATTTTGAAATGCTACATCACACGTTGCTCATACTTGTTGAGGAACATTTGGAGGTCTTCTAGAGTCATCCTAAAGTGAGAAAAGTCTCTGACAACTATACATTTAGTTGCAATAGAAACAGCAAATTAGGGGCAGAAAAAGTTACAATGAAAGTATTAGGAGTTCCATTATTTTGAAATGCTATATCAGACATTACTCAAAATTGTTGAGGAACATCTGGATGACTTTTACAGTCATCCTCAATTTAGACCAGTCTCTGACAACTAGCCATTTAGTTGCAATAAAGACAGCAACTTAGGGGCAGAGAAAGTTAAAATGTAAGTATTGGGTGTGCTTTTATCTTGAAATGCTACATCAGAAGTTACTCATAATTGTTGAGGAACATCTGGATTACTTCTAGAGTCAGCCTAAAGTAAGAGAAGTCTCTGACAACTAGCCATTTTGTTGCAATAAAGACAGCAACTTAGGGGCAGAAAAAATTACAATCTAAGTATTGGGCGTGCTTTTATTTTGAAATGCTACATCAGAAGTTACTCATAATTGTTCAGGAACATCTGGAGGACTTCTAGAGTCAGTCTGAATTGAGACCAGTCTCTGACAACTAGCCATTTAGTTGTAATAAAGACATCAAACTGGGGGAGCCATAATTGTAAAATGTCAGTATTGGGAGTGCCTTTATTTTGAAACGCTACATCAGAACTTGCTCAAAATTGTTGAGGAACCTTTGGAGGTCTTCTAGAGTCAGCCTAAAGTGAGAAAAGTCTGTGACAACTAGCCATTTAGTTACAATAGAAGCAGCAACTTAGGGGCAGAAAATGTTACTATGTAAGTATTGGGAGTGCCATTATTTTGAAATGCTACATCAGAACTTGCTCAAAATTGTTAAGGAACATCTGGAAAACTTTTACAGTCATCCTGAATTCAGACCAGTCTCTGACAACTTGCCATTTAGCTCCAATAGGAACAGCAACCTACCCAATAATTACATAACTTTAAATGAGACATATGCGAAATTCATTTTTTTGGCCATTATATAGATTTTGTTGTGTGCTTAGTCTCTCTAAAATAAAATTTCTATTTAGTCTCTATGGTGCTGCATAAATATCTTTATGTTCTGTTTGGGCCAAATTTTCCAACCCGTTCAATTTTCCTTATTTTCTAATATGTTTTCTGAAAGATTATGTCAAATTATTTTCAACAGAACAGCCAAACTGGAAGCTGAAGGAGAGAGGGGTGTGCAGTGCCTGTTTGGGTTTAAAGAGACAGCCTCAACACGAGTTGATTTGAGACACACCTCAGAAAAGGAGTGAATGAGGGTCTTGTGGAGTTATAATAAGGTGGAATTCAAACCAAAACATTGCAGTTCCACTTTGTATGACCTGAAATAAATGGTTTAAATCAGTGGTCCCCAAACTACGGCCCGCGGGCCGAATCCTGCCCGCCTCCCCATTTGGTCCGGCCCCCAGAACAATACCAGAGAGCATTTAGTTTTTTTTTTCATATACGTGTATTTATATTTGATTATAAAGTTGGACTTTTGCAATAAAATGTTCCTTAGTTATGAACTATTTTCATTATTAACTATTATTAACTATTTCATACATACATGCATATAACGTGACATTCTGTTCCACCCTTCTGCGGTCTGTGCCCCTATCTGGCAACCCCCAGAAAAAAATCCTAAACCCGCCCCTCTCAAAGGGAGAACAGAATAATGGCGAAAAGATTAGGTAAGAGAAAAATAGATTCAGAATGCAGAGGATTTAAGCTGCAGTGGACAAACGATTATTTTTTTGTTCATCTGTCAAGAGGCAGTGGCGGCATTCAAAGAATACAATCTGTGGCGACACTATGAATCCCGTCACAAAATGTATGATAACTTGCAAGGCCAAATGCGAGCAAACAAACTCTCAAAGCTAAAAAGTGGACTGTTAGCTCAGCAGAATACATTCTGTGAAGAACCCAGAGGAGGTTATTTGATTGTACTTTCTGGAAAACAATAATTTTTTACATTTAGGCACTCCTGCAATAGTCACACTTTCTCTGTTACAAACTGACTCCGGCCCCCCACCAGAGAAGTGAAGCGTTATGTGGCCCTTACAGGAAAAAGTTTGGGGACCCCTGGTTTAAATGTTAAAGCAAAGGATTTAAAAGCATGATATGTCTCATTTGACTGTTTTATTTTGGCAAACACACAAAAATAAAAGGCTTGTTTTTTGTTAAAACCTTTTATTAACCCATCTGGAAGTGTCCCAGGCAAGTTTTTTTTATCTCACTAGATTTTCACATGTATCTCATTTGCATATAATCTGACAAGCATCACCATCTAATCACCATTTGTGTGTTGTGTTAGATTTAAAATAAACTGCAAAATCCTCGATTTACTCAAGCAAGAACAATGAAGCTTCTGAAGACAAAGAAATTATTTTTTTATTTATTTAAAGGATTGTGGCTGTCTTCTAAATATCATCTTTATATTTCGTTTTTAACAACTTAGTTAAAAATAATGAAATGTTGGCAAATGTGTTTTTATTATTATTTAAAGTAGTCATTTGAAGAATGTGATTTATTTTGCTTTTTTTTTTCAAACTTGTAGCAAGTAACATTTACAACTTTTGAACTTTGTCAGCCCTTTAGCTCTCCGTTTTTGTCTTTCATCCATTGTCTTCACTTCCTCTCTGTCAAAATGAACCTGTCTCATCATTTTTGTCTTTTGACTTTCTGTCCCCTTCAGTCCTTCCAGGTTCTTTTCTTCTGATCTGCATCTCTTCCTTTTTTTATTTAATTTCTTTGTTGAAAAAGATGTGATGCTCTTCAGCACAGGTGTTGGAAAATGGTTCAAAACAAAAAAGAAACCGGCAGGAGCTTTGCCTTTTTTATACCTTGTCTTTTTCTGGACGACGTCTTGTTTTGTCTCTCCTATTTCCTTCACTCCTTCTTTCCCCCTGTTTTCCTTTTCACAATTGGCCCGTCTCTTTTGGCCTTGAGGTAAATGAACTGTGACACTAAAGGTTAGAAGCTGATCCCAACAGATATGGGAAGCACTCTTTAATTAAGACACTATCTTCCCACCGTTGCCTTGACCCTGCTCATCCGAACACATCGCCGCCGTCTCTCGTGCTTCGATTAGGCCCACTTTCATTTGCTTGCCGGCCATAATTGAAAACTCAGTGCGATAAAAGTAATATTCCATTCTGCCTAAACAAGCACAAACTCCTGATACGTGACCATGTCAGGTCCCGTTAGCTTGCCCCGGCTTCTGCTCCCCCCACCACCCCCAACCCATCTGTCCCACTACCACCTCCCCACCCCCGTCTCTTCTTCCATCTTTCTCTAACCCTCATCTTGCTTGGCACTCTTATCATCCTCTTTCATGTCTGCTTTCTCTCTAAGATATAGACACACAAACACATCAGTCGTGTTTGTGTTGCTTTTTTCTTGCTCTCTGTCAACGGGTCCCTCTCGTCATTTTATTTTATTTTTTTCCTTCCACACTTTTACTTTCACCACTCCCTTCATGTCTGGCTCGAGTAAAATCTCAATCTATTTTTGCATACTCTCCTTTCATCCTTCACTCCCTACTTTTGCTTTTTATATTTATTTATATAAATATATATATATTTTTTTGCTTGCACACACAAAACGTTTAGTTGATTTGCTGTGTGAAACAAATTGGGCCGCTGCTCTTAATTGCCATGAAATGTAGATGCAAATTACTTTCTCCCGTCTTGCTGTTTTTAGTCTGTCCTCCACCATTCATCCTCCTCTCCATAGGTGCCCAGTGAGGCTCTAAAAAAACTCATTCATCTGTCACTAACTTCTACCTCTCTGTCGGCACACTTTTTCCGTCCCCCTCTGTGCTTTTTTTGCTAAAAATTCTCCTTCCCGCTGCTTTACTACCTGTTTCTCTTCAAAGGTGTGATGTCCCAGCTGGTGGGGAGAAAAAAAAGGAGAAAAAGAACAGATGTGTGCTTTGGCTGCTAACCTCACTTGTTCCATTTATTCTTTTTGCCTCTCTCCAGGTGTTGTATCCCAGCAAGAGAATGGCAAAACGTTCAGCGTGTCCAGCACTATCCGCATCCCGGTAGAAAGGAAAGACAATGGGGCGGCGCTGAGCTGTGAGGCACTCCACCCTGCACTGAACGGGCAGAAAAAGATTCGACATTATCGACTGGACGTGAATTGTAAGTCTTTCCTCCAATTAAAAGCCTTTTGAATTTTGGTTCTGTGGAAAGGTTATGAACAATCAATATTTTACCTGTTCTAGGCAGCATTTGTGCAATTTGAGTGTGTAGATGTACAGTTTAATTCTGACCAGATCAATGCTAGATTGGCTAGTCCATGTGCTGGCAAGATCAGGACGGATTGCTCTTAAAGGGATCCATGATTAGTTGTAACATTAAATTTTATTTGTTTAACATTTATTTTAAATGTAAAATCAAGACTGTAAAAATACTGTAGGCTGTTTAATTTTGTAAATTTTTCAAAATATATTTTAACACGGACAGAGCCAGTTTGTCAGTTTAGCTTGGCGCTAGCGCGACTAACAAGCTAAACTGAGGTCCTCCATCCATATTTTCAGTTGTAGACTGAGTCATTTTTGCGTTCCCCTCTCTGTCATGTGGATGGAGGACCTCAGTGACGAGAAGAGAAT